TGTTCCTGGGATGATGGGAGGTGGGTTATATTCCAGGTTGGGCAAAAAAACCACTCAGAGGCCACATCCACACCAATGTCCCTGTGATGTTTGCAACAGAGGGCTCAGGGACCAGGAAAGGCAGCTTCCTCCCATCGCCCCTCACTGCCCCCCCCTTGGCACACGGAGTTAAAAGTCAGATTTGCCTGCTCCTACCAAGCAGGTATTAGGGACCCTGCCTACAATGTACCCCACTCACCTTAGTACATGGTCTAGCCCACCCACCTGGAAACCCAGCCTCAGGAGGCCTTCCCTCGTCCCTCTGCTCTCCTCTGAGCGCAAAGCCACACTAGCCCGGGGTAGGATGAGACCCAAGGATGCTCACGAATAATGCAAACATCCAAGTGTCCAACTGGTTAAATAAGCCACAGGACATCCACAGAACTTTAGGTGGCCATTAAAAATCATGTCCTCAGCCCTGGCCAGGGTGGCTCAGTTGGTTGGAGCGTTATCGTCTACCCCAAAAAGTTTGATTCCTGGTCAGGGCACATACCCAGCTTGTGGGTTCAATCCCAGGTTGGAGCTCGTATAGGAGGCACCTGATGGATATTTCTCATATCAATGTTTCTCTCTCCCCACTTCCCCTCTCTCTAAAATCAATAAAAACATATCCTCGAGTGAGGATAAAAAAAAAATGTCTCCATGAACTATTTAACATGGCAGAATGCCCCAGCAAAATGTTAAGTAACTAAAATACTACCACTTAATATAGTCACACTTATGTATATTATATAGCAGAAAAAAATAGCAGAAAGAATGACATTGAAATGCACACAGAGGCTATCTCTTAATGATGGGGATTAAAAGTGACTTGTAGGTTTCTGTGTACTTTTCCAAATTTTGCCATTCTGACTCAAACATTGTAATAAACAGAATAATTAGTTTTCTTAAGCGGAATCCTAAATATGTGCTAGTCCTGGGCTTGCATCCCCTCTTCTATCCTTGCCAAAATATCATCTGACCTCTACTTGAACTCCTCTAGAGATGGGGAACTCACTACCCTTCTTCCCCATGAGAAGCAGCATCTGGTTTCCTGTAGCTTCCCCTCACTGGCCACAATTCTACCTGTCATGCGCCTTGACAGTACTCCAGAGGTTCAAAGGTGTGGCCAGCCTCCAGGCTCCATGCTCCCAATGCAATAACCTTTCAAGGACATCAATGTCCCTCTGGCTTCCACATCCCTGCTTGCTTTCCTTGGGTACAATCTAGGCAGTGATGTCCTTAAAGTGTAACTATGTTTCCCTTATGACATTACCCACATGTCCCTCTTATCAAGGGCGTACCACTTGCCAGTCAGCGTATTGGGGACTCTATTACACACAGCCTTTCATCTAATCTTTAGAACAGGAGCTAATATCATGCCTAGCTCACAAATGAGGAAACTGAGGCACAGAGAAGCCAAGTCCCTTCCATGGTCACTTAATGCACCTGTGATGGAGTCAGGACTGAAGCAGCACTTGGCCTAGTGCCTCGTGTGCCAAGTTAGTAACTGGTTACGTGAATCCGGTTCTGAAACCCCTGCCCTAGTGGCTCTGGTTGGGTTTCACTATTGTTTATGCCCCTGCAGGCTCTTCCCTGTCACTCACATCTGCGTGTCTCCCTCTGTCTCATCTGGCCTGCTACCTGGACGCGATCACAAAGAACTGCTGGAAGACTGACCCGCTGAGAACCTGCTGCCTGTGGCCCAGCTTTGGGAGCAGTACTGGGCCAGGCTCTCTGTCACCTGCTCAGGGCTGTGGGGCTGTGGCCAGAGCAGAAGCGGGGACTGGGGACTTCAGACACCATACAGGCACCTGCGCAGAGGGTTGACTACGAGGTACTAGGTGCTCTGCCCCACTGAGGTGCTGGTAACCTGTCGGGGAGCGGAAGGCCCGGTGCACTCGCGTATCACTCCTTCAGGCAAGTCTATGAATGCTCGTCTCCTTGGCCCTGACTCTATCTGTCCAGCCTTCTCCCGAGTCCTCTCAGCGGACACGGCCGCATCAGCCATGGTCTCTGCCAAGACAGGTTTAGGAAGGATCACGTAATGCAGATGGTTCCTCAGAACCCACTCGCAGTCTGCTAGGGACCCCCACACATTCATTCACTGGGATTTCAACTGGTCCCAATAAGGCAGTGACTTAGCCTCTCAAAGCGTCTAGAACAGCTGGTCAGCTGAGACCATCAGGCACTATAACAGAGCTCAGCAAACCCTCAGATCCTTGAACCTGGAGGGACTTTGAGAAGTCGTAGAGGTCAAGCCCCTGTCCTCGGCCAGGGTAGGCCCCACTGAAAGCTCTGGCCTCATTCCTTGCTACCTGCCACCTCCACTGTCCACAGCAAACCCCATCGCACCAAACTTTTCCTGGCTCAGCCTTTGCTCGGGCTGTTCTCTCTACCAAGCCTTCAACACTCAGTCAAGGCATCCCCCACCCAATCCAAAAAGCCTTCCTGTATCTCCCAAGGCTGGATGAGCTACTCCTGTTGCACCCTGGGCTAAGCCCTAGCAGGGCTCTTATTTGGCTCACATTCACTCACTCAGATAGTTACGTGCCACCTGCTCTGTGCTCTGCACCAGGCGATGAGCACTGGATGGGGTGTGCAGAAAACCAGGCTCAGTTGTGCGGCTTTGCCACCCACTGGCTCTATGACCTTGGTTTCCTCACCTGCAAAGCGGGGAAGAGGCTGCAGCTCAGCCTCGCTTCCAGGCCTTCTGTGAACTCAGCAGGATGTGAAAGTACTCTGTAAACTGCCACTCAGGTTGAGTCATGCTTGTCGTGACCTGACCCCATCTAGTCTGAGCTCATTTTTGTATATCCCATCCTTAGAGCACCCCCTCTCTCCCAGGGGGCTGGTAGCCTTGGGAGCTCCGGGATTGGCACCTGAATGAGAAATTGGGCATGAACATGAAATAGGCATAAACTTTAAACAAAACTGACTTACAAGTCCTGCCACACAGGGGCACAGCCCTAACATTGCTGGGGCAAGGAAACCACGCCAGGCTGCTCTGGGGCAAGAGGGTGAAGGCTTTTATGCCAACGGGCTTGGAATCATTAAGAAGCCACCAGAAGTACAGGGGAGGGTAGAGACAAAGAACACTGGACCAGGGGACTAGATACTGGGGTTGTGCTCTAAGTTACTCTGTGCGACATCAGTCAAGGCCCCTCCCTTCTCCAGAGCTCAACCTCCATCTCCACTGGGTGCTTCTAAGGCCCTTGCTCACTCAGATAGTCTGTGCCGACTTTACTTGCCCTTCACAGTTTGGGACGAGGGTCCAGCTCAGGCTGTGCTAAGGACAGACAGGGACAGCTGGTAAGGCTCTCAATAGGGCCAGGAACCCATGCTCATGGTGGTCTCCTCTTCCAGCCTGTGGAAGGTCAGGCCGGCACAGGGCTCCTCCTCCAGCCTCCTCCCACTACTGTGTAGATGGAATTCATCACTGGCCCACTTTGCAGACTGAGGGTCACACAGGTACACCGAACACAGACTCGCAGACTGTTAGAAACCATTCTGTACATTCTCCTCTCCTTATTGAGGGACAAACTGAGGTCCAGAGAGTGGCAAGGGCTTCTTGGGGTCACACATCATGTTGGTGGCAGAGCCAGGACCCAAACCCAGGGCTGATGTCCACCTATCACCAGCTTGATGACAGGTCTCAAACCAGGCTCAGGCTTACCTGCCCATCATCTCTGTCAGCCAGCCCTACACTTCCGCTGATGGAGGCAAACCTCAGTTTCCCTGTTGGCACCAGTTTTTCACCATCAAGCTCTGGGTCAGAGCTTGATGAGGTTTTTCTGAACTGGGAATAAAGAAGCAAGGAGAGCAGGGGAGGCACTGTACTTGGGACCAAAACTTATCTTCCTGGACTACGCACAGGGCAGGGAATAGGATTATCCAGATTGGGGACGTACTGAATGAATACCCAGTAGGTGGAAAAGCTTGTGCTTGGGAACAAACAAAGCAGGTGCAGAGAGAGACTCAAGTTCAATGAAAAATGACTAAATATTCTCACGGTTTGTTGCCTGTCAGGGTATCCAGGGAACATCGTAAAGTTTATGGGACCACCTATTCCCACCTGGCTGGAGGGCAGGCAGTAGTAGGACAAAGGGCCAGGACTTGAGGGGTCCTCTCTTTCCGCTATGAGCCTCAGATTGCCCCCTAAGGAGGTAGTCCTTCGGGCTCCAGGCTATGAACCTTCTGGACTTATCAGACCCCAAGGGGCAGCTGGTCCCACTGCAAGAAACCTGAGTAGTGTCTCCTGGGCCCTAACCCAGCTCTTGAGGCCCCTTGGGGTAGGGACAGGGAGGGAAGGGCAGCAGGCGGTAGATCTCCTCCCTTTTTGACCCCTCCCGCCCCCCCCCCCAACCCCAGGACAGTCCACAAACACCCACTCTGGGGCCCGAAGGGGCTCTAGACCAACAATTCTCAAACTTTAAAAAGCTCATTGTAATCACCTGAGCATCTTGTTAAAAGACAGGTTCCATCTGAGCGGTCTGGGGCAGAGCCTGAGATTCTGCATTTCTAACAGGTCCCATGTGGTGTGGATGCTGTGAATCCATGGACCACTCTGCGAGCAGCGGCCCTAGAGCTGATCCGCTTCTGAACCGTGGGAAAGCCGCAGGGCCGGAGAGGACAAATCACTCGTCCCTGGCCACACAGAGAGCAGCCCCAGACCGAAGGCAAAGGGCACCTGCCACGGGCACCAGAGACTTCCTCCCTCTGGAGAAGGGAAATATCTGCCCTCCCCAGGCCCAGGGGCCGTGTTTGTAAACTCTGCCGCCCCGCGCGGCTCAGCCCGGGGCCGGGATAAAGAGCAAGCCCGGCCGAGCCTCCCCCGCCTCGCTCGGTGCCGGCCTCTCGCAGTTCTCCGCCCGGCACCCCGGCCGACCAGAGGGAGCCCGCGACTCCGAGGGTCCCTGCGCGGAGCGGCTCCACACTGCCCTGCCCTTCCGAAGGCAAACTTCTCTGCCGGCGCCCTTTACCTTTTTGGGGGGTTTGCAGCAGCTCAGCCTGCTGTGTCTGCAGCCCATCCTCCTCCGGGGGCTCCCGGACGCCGCCTCCCAACTCCGGGGCCCCCAGAGGATCGTGCGGTGCGGGCCCCGCTGCCGGCTCCGCGCCTGCCGGCCAGGGCTGCGGGCGAGACCCTGAAACTGAACCTGAAAGTGCAGACTTGAGCCCGAGCGGCGCAGCGGCGCGCCGTAAATGCCCGAAGAGCAGGGCCTCCGCGAAAACCGCGAGGCTCGCCGCGCCACTGCTCGAAGCAGGTGACCAGAATCTTTGTAAATGATAGGAACCTCCGGCCAGGACGGAAAAGATCCCCAGGAGCGGCGGCTGCTTTTCCAGGCCCTCAGCAGAGAAAAGGCCAGGAAAAAACACTGAATCCATTTTTTTATTGAACACAACAGCTGCCATTTATTGAGGGCTGTTTCTGTCCCTGCTACTTAATATATGTTATTTCTGTTTCTTGCCATCTCCTTGCAACAGGACCGTATTAGTGCCTCCATTTTTACAGATGAGGCTCAGAGATGTGAAATGATTGGCCTAAACTCACATAGCTAGTAAGTACCAGAGGCCAGGTATAATCCAGTTTTAACTCCAGAACCACTCCCTTACAAATGCATAATAATATTAAGTTTAATTGCAATGCCTCCTCACTTCTGGGTGGAGAGCTCTTTCCAGCTCACACGTATCTGTGGTATTCAGCTCTATTCATCTTGGATAGATGTTATCCATCAAAAACTTCCTGAGGCAGACAGGCAGATACAGTGGGAATAAGGAACATACAATACCTGGGGAAAAACTTTTTATCTACCCTCACTTTATTACTAGCCGATGTTTCAAGGAGTACCAATGTGGGGGAAAGACGCCTAACTGAAAATGTGTGGCATGTCTGTGTGTATATTAGTAAATTATCAAGGCCCACACACCCTTGGAAAGGTGTGTTGATGAAAGGGACTTACAGTTTTGAATGGGAAAATAATATGAAACCACAAAATAAATTCCCCCTCTACAGAGTATAAGACCAATTGCAACAGATTCTAATAAAGGAAACTAAGGACACAGGTGATATTAAGCTCTTGGAAGGAAGAATAACATAGGATGATGGTTTACAAATCATCAGCATCAGCACTACCAGAGAATGTTGTTAGAAATACAGAGTCTCAGGTCTCACCCAGACCTACAGATCCTAAACTCTGGGAATGGGTCTTAGGAATCTATAGCTTCACAAGCCCTCTGGGTAATTCTGGCCCATGCTAAAGTTTGAGAACCACTGCTGTAGGATGGGCTAAACAGGTAATGAGGAAAGAGTGTCTGCTTAAATTAACAATGTTTATTGAAGCAGTGCTCATGATGTAATCAAAACCAAAACCAACAAACAAGCCCAAAACCAAAACAACGGAAACATCCAAGAAAAGAACAATGGTTAAGTAAATTATGATCTAGCAATAAAAATAGAATGTCATATAACCAGCAAAAAATGCTGATGAAGACAAATGTTTTAAATATTATAAAATGCGACAAATTCATTCTTATTTTTAAAAGTATCTCTGGATTGGTGAGATTTTTTATTTTTAGAGCGATTCCTCATTTTCTTATATTGAAAATGAGTATACACTTATTACCATTGTAATAAGAAAATTAGCATTGCCCAACTTCAAGGTGATGGGGAAGCGTAATGTATGCCCAGAAGGAGAGGAGACCCCAAAATAGTGGTGAACAGCAGTAAAGCCTACCATAGTTAGATATCAACAAGTAGGTTTTATGATGTGCCCATTTCTTGGACAAGTTGAGTGAATAACTCATTCTGATTTGCTCAGGATTTCCCTACTTTTAGCACTGAAAATCCTATGTCCCAGGAAGTCCTAGGCACACCGGGATGTTTGCTCACCCTAAGGGCAAGGTATACTGAGGTACAAGAGAAGAAGATTAAGTTCTTGTCCTTGAATTAGTTACAATCTGTTTTGTTTTTGACATTAGACCTAGACCTAGGAAAATATGGGAAGCAATGCAAAACAGGTTATAAAGCTAATGTCAAGTTGTATAATCCATGTGGAAAATATTTGCATTAAAAGAAGATAAAAAGACCATGGTGGATGAGGATGGGGAAGGAGGACTTCCTGGAGGAATATGAAAAACAAGCCCAGTGGTTTGGCTCAGTGGTTAGGGCATCGGCCTGCGGTCCAGAGACCCCTGGGTTCGGTTCCAGCTAAGGGCATGTACCGACTCCGTTGCAGTTTGTCCCTGGCCCTGGTTGGGTCGTAGGGGACCACTCGATGTGTCCCTTTCCCGTCGATGTTTCTCTCTCTCTCTCTCTTCCTCTTTCTCCCTCCCACTCTGTCTGAACAAAAAATGGAAAAATGTCCTCAGGTGAGGATAAAAGAAAAAAACAACAACAACAAAGTACATTTATGCCAAAGGGAATCCTAAAATCTCAGGTTGGGATGGGATCTGATGCTTTGCTTCTGTTGCTTGCAACTCAAATCTCTTTTATAATTTCCCTTCTAGCTGTTTGTGGAGCCTATGTTCAAATACTTCCAGTGATGGAGAAATCACCACCTATCTTGCCATATCTAGGAGGAAGAGGAGAAGCAGGGAGAAGTAATTACAAGAAGGAGGAACAGTATGAGTCAAATTGGGGTAGAGTGTGGAGGTTGGGAGTTGGGGAATGAAAAATTAGTTTGTAGCTAGGTGGTGTGTAAAGGGATAAAAGTTGAAGATGGGGTGGGCTCTCTTGGGAAAGAATGGAAATAAAGTACAGGGATTACCCAGAGTCTCTTCCATTAGAAAAACACAATATACCCACACGTAAAAGGTTTTACATAGACATTCAGACAGTTCAAAGGCCCCTGCAGCCTTTGCAATCGGGGCTGTGTGTGAATCCCAGGCTAGGAACCTCTCAACTCAGAGGTTGCTAAACCTCTTTCTAGCTACAAAAGCTTTTTCTGTTCAGATTCTTCTGATTGAGCCCAATTGCTCCCCAAATATATGTTGTCTGCCCAGAGTGACTTTCTTCACCATCCCTCTCTGTAGATTATAATTCTACCGGTGTGTCAAACAGCAGCTCAAATGCCCCCTTCGGAAAGCCTTGCAGCACGTGTTCTGAGCACACTTGGCAGTTTTCCTCTGAGTCACACTTGTTTGTGTGCTCTGCTTATCCTCCCTAATGGACTAAAGGTTACACAGCTCTGTCTCCTTCCTCCTCACCCCACCCCATACTTAGTAGATTGTGGCAAAGTTTCTAGTCACCTTATTCAACTTTCATTCTTCCCTCTTCCCTAGTTACAGAATCCTGATATTTTCTGGGACAGTAATGTGCTGGGCTAACAGGCTACTTACCCAGCTTCCCTTGCATCTGGGGGTGGCCAGTGATATGTAAGGGGAAATTACTGGTTGGAGTTTCCAGGAAATCTTTTAATAGGGGGATGACTCAGCTTGGAGGAGGGATCCCCCTTTCCTAGCTCTACACCCCCCTTTTCCTGCTTGGAATACAGACATGATGGCTGGATTCCAGCAGCCATTTTGTTACCCTGAGCAGAAAGATAGGAGGTGCCTTGATCTCTGATAAATTTATAGAACCCCTATACCAGCCTTGATCAACTACTTCCTAACTCCTTTACATAATAGAATAAACAATGAATTTGTTTAAGCCACTGCCATTGAGAGTCTGTCCCTAGCAGCACAAAGCAATTCACAGTCACTCCTTAAGATTTGTTATATTGAATCGAATAAGAATACTTTTCTCTTAAAGACACTATATGTAGCCCCAGCTTCAGTTCTGGAAATGGGAAATGAGTCTCTGTTGAGAAAGGGACCTTGGATTTGCCAGCCTTCTGATGGAAATGTTGTTTTTGACAGTTTCCTCATGGAATAGATATAAGAGAAGGAAAGGAGAGAAACCTAAAGTTGTTGAGTCCTCATGCTTCTATCGGCGTGCTGCTGAAGGAACGGGCGGGCTCGTTTGCAGAATCATCTGGGCATTGTTGGTTAAAATGCAGTTTCCCTGGAGCCCTCTCTCCTTTCCCATCTGTTGAATCAGGACCTGCAGGAATGAGTCTGAGGCACTTTCGCACTAAAATCTGAGCCTTATGGGTCGAATGGTTGTGGAGGGTCATCTCACCAGGGAATCAAATTGCTACATTAATTATACTGAACTGTGTTGAAGTGCATGAATGGGGAAATCCTTTGAAAGGAGAATTAAGTCTGAGTAATGCTCATTATCGAGAAGCCACCCCTTCCTGTTTTCCCAGGAGACCTGCGGTTTGGGATTTGGGACTGCCTTGGGAGAGGTGGCGAGATTTACATCACCACTTTTCTCTACCAGGTGTCAGTTCATGTCAAGAACCATTGGTTAGCGCTGTCTCTGTTTAGTGAAGCCAGACGGAGGTCCTCCAGGAGCTTATACAGTAAAGCAGAGTCGGAGGGGCACAGAGCCTCACCTAGGGATCTTATCTAGATAAAACTGCACATCACCGCTTTATGGAGGTGCTGGGGTCTGGTTTGGAGGCTACTAGAATGAGCAGCAGTAGACAATTCTTTGTAGCAGTGGTTCTCAAAATGTGGTTCAGCAGCATTAGCATCTCTTGGGAAATTGTTAGAAATGCAACTTGTTGGGCCCCAGCCCAGCCCCGTGGCATCAGAAACTGCTGGTTGTGGGGCCCGGGAATCAGTGTTTTACAAGTCCCCAGATAAGTCCGATGTGTGCTTATGTGCTGACCTTTCTGTCCTCCTCACGTCCGACAGCCACTTTTTAATGGACACAGAGATGAAGGATAGAGTGAAGTCCAGTGCTCAGTGAGTCTGCAGGTGAGCCTCATTTTCCATGTTTGAGACATCCTTGGCTGGACTGGGTGACTGGTGTCGGGGCCACCCCTATCTGTGCCCTCCATGTGAAACACAGGGGACTGTCACACAGCCTCTGAGCCATCTCACATCTAGGGATTAAGAGTAACCGTCTGTATAGGGTCCTCTAATGTGCAGCTTGGTGATTTCAATGTAATCGAATGAGCAGGACTCCAACACCAGGTAGGGGCTTTTCAGGCACAGATCAGAGATGGATATTCACTTGTCTGGCTGCACCTAAGTCAATAATCTACTTGTCCCCTCGTACACTCCCCCTCGTATTCCTTATCAGAGGGCTGTGATTGCACCTTCTGCA